TTTCTAGGGTATACCTGGTTCCCCGGCTATTAGTACCCGGCGAAGGCGTGCGGTTTTAGTCGGTTCGAGTCCGACATGCCACCGACAGGTGGTATCCGAGGGGATTTCCGCACGGAAAAAAAAAAAAAAAAAAAAAAAAAAAAAAAAAAAAAAAAAAAAAAGGTACCCTTTAACAATCTTTAATTGTTTTTTTTTGTAAATATTTTTATTTTTCTTTGTATGCTGTGTTTTATGGAATAAACAATTTACTTGCTTTCTTTTAAGTCGGATTGTAATACTTGTTAGTGGCTCCCACATATAGTGGAACAATCAGACTTTTTTAATTTCGCTACTTACGTATTTTTTTCAAACATTCTTAATTCTTTTTTTTTAATGGGACATAGTAATCAATGCAAAATAAAATTTAAAATATTAAATTCCTTAGATCAGGCAAATATTTAGATATTAACAGTTTCGTGGCCAATGTGTACCCCACCACCAGTGTGTGGTATACCCAAGTCCCTTGCAAGCCCTGGTAAGGTGATATACCGTGGGGGTTTCAACACGATAATAAAAAAATATTTACGTTATTATTTAAAAAGATTATTATAATTTTTAAAACGTCTGTTCAGGCAAATTTTTGTATTTATAAACCAATCTTTGTTAATTGTTTATCCAACGTCAAAAACAAATCACAAAGCTGAGGACTACAAAGGGCACTCCATTTCGTTCTGTCTGCGACATGACTTTCAGCCACTTTGAATGACACTGCCTTATGTTTCAAGCCTTTGTGTAGTGGTACACAAAAATTTTCGTTTCTTCAGACGGTACTGGTTCGAATTGAAAAATTATTTTAGTGTTAAATGGCCCATTTATCGAAGTAGGCTATAGTCGCTCCTGAAACAACATGGGTTCTCCCCAGAGTAGGAAACCTGAGGCCGGCCGTCGGGGTGGTTTTTAGTGGAATCACCACATACTCCTGGCTCCTGAGTCCCCGAGGAGCAGGAGATCCGAAGGGGGTTTCCACCCCGTCAACAAAAAAAATCGGTTGTCTGTAAAGTCGGTTTACTGACGATAGTTGAACGTGACAACGTCATAAGAAAATACTGATGGAATGGTTGCATTTTTCAAAAATGTATTATTGTATACGAGTAGCAGCTGTCCACGCGGACGCATCGCTCACTCAAGTAGGAGAGAGACAGATGTCGAACGCTGCCGAACGCGGAGGCCGATTGTGCCTCTTTGTCACTCGTTCCGCGCTCTCGCTTGCACTTCACGCCTTAAATGGAACGCCTCAGAGCGAGGTAACGCCGCATGAGTCATGTTTTTTCGTGCGTGCTGCGCCGGCTCCATCGAATTATAAGACGTTGTCACGTCAAAAAAAAACAAAAAAAAGGCTAAACACGCTATATGACATCACATCAACAGCCTTTACTAGTCCACTGCTGGACATAGGCCTCTCCTTAGGAAGGAGTTTTTGGCCTACTATACCACGCTGGCCAGACGGGTTGGGATAGGGTTTGTTTCAAGTTTTCCTTCTCTCTGCAGTGCTGTTGTCCTGCGTAGATTGCTTCCTTAGCCGGCTCTTACGACACCCACGGGATGAATAGGGGTGGTGACACTCTGTACTTATTCTTAATCCGTCACCATACGGACAGCTATATGACATCATTCTACTAAAAATAAAAGCCGAGCATCACTGAAAAATGTTGCAAATACGCGGCAAATTTATTCCTTTTGAGAGGCAGACGAACTTTCAGGTATATGATAAAAAACAACTAATGTAATTGTAACTGTTATTGTTAACGTGTAGTGACGGATTAAGAATACGGAATGTCACTACCCCAATTCATCCCGTGGGTGTCGTAAGAACCGACTAAGGGCGCAAAACAACGCAGGACACCAGCACTGTAAAAAGACGGAAAACTTGACACAAACCCTATACCAACCCGCCTGGCCAGCGTGGTATAGTAGGCCAAAACCTTCTTTCTAAGGAGATGCCTATGTCCAGCAGTGGACTATTAAAGGCTGTTGATGTGAACTGTTATTGTTCTATTTTACATCTGTTGACGTGAATTCGATCCTATTGCATTAACTATTCGATAATGTACATGTGTTTTACTATTACCATATTCATGGGTTTAAAGTGACATGTGGCGAATACTGATATGTCGTCATTATCGTTTAAAAATGCTTTATATACTTTTTTATATCGTACTAGCTGACCCGCGCAACTTCGTCTGCGTCTCTCAATAGTAATAAATTTTCTCCGTTTTTGAAACATTCTTCATTGGTGCTCCGCTCCTATTGGTCTTAGCGTGATGGTATATAGCCAATAGCCTTCCTCGATAAATGGGCTATCTAACACTGAAAGAATTTTTCAAATCGGACCAGTAGTTCCTGAGATTAACGCGTTCAAACAAACAAACAAACAAACTCTTCAGCTTTATAATATTAGTAGTAGATAGGTGGCAAACGAGTAGACGAGTCACCTGATGGTAATTGACTACCGCTGCCTATTGACACCTGCAACTCAAGGATCACTTGTACATTGCTGCCCTTACTTACGATCCTTTACCCCCGTAATGAGGGGGAGGGGAGAGGTTTGGCTTCCTGTAACCCTAATAATGTTACCGATTTTCCACACACAAAAGCAGTGCTTTAAAATCGTAGGATGGAGGGATTTTCAGCATCATGAGACCTAGGTAGAGCTCACCGCAATCGTCCAAAAATCCATTTTCCATCTTTCTGGTCTGTCCCTCATCTAAGAATCGCGATCAGGATCAAGGTTACACCTGGAACGAATGATGTTTGTGTGTATAGTTTGAAGGACGTTGTAGCCCTTCCTACCTCGAGATAAATTAATCCCTATGACTAAAATATTCTTGATAAAACTATCATTAGTACAAACACAATTATTTACATTGCAAGTCCTTTAAAACCCGGAATATATCCATTAGATATGACAAACATGATGTGTTTCAAAACATTGCGTAGACGCGATTACCTATCTCCGGTTTATATTAATGTTGTTATTATGTATTTATACAATCAAAAGGTTTAATAACCGTATCATTGTGAGCTACTACGCAGATAGTGCAATCTGCAACACTGTAGCATAAAACATTCCGTTTTTTTGTCTTAAGTGTCACACTGAGTTTTGCGTGTGATTAGTTGTCTATAAGAAATTTGTTTTTTTTTTCTAAATTCTTAAAAAACAGCAGACTTCATCAACATCATCATAACAGCCTATAATCGTTCACTACTGGACATGGAACTCTCCTTAGAAAGGAGGTTTTGGCCTACTATACCACTCTGGCCAGACGGGTTGGTATAGGGTTTGTTTCAAGTTTTCCTTCTCTTTGCAGTGCTGTTGCCCTGCGTAGTTTGCTCCCTTAATCGGTTCTTACGACACCTACGGGATGAATAGGGGTTGTGACATTCCGTATTCTTAATCCGTCACACAGCCCTTTATGAATTATTTACTTTTGTCCCCGCGCTTAACGATTTCGATTTCGGCACTCAATTTTTTCGGATTTTAAAGCAGCCTACTTTTTAGATTATAAGTTACCTCTATCACGAGCCAAATAATGAGCCTCTGGTCCGGATAGAGTAACGAACATACATCAAAAGTAGCATTGAGGTATCATGTTATTAACTGTTTAGTAAGATAGACGTGGTTCTAAAACTACAATATTGTATAAAGTCAACACCTCCACCTACCCTTTAAGGTTTCGTGTAATATTAACAATTACACATTGTTTCGTGTATTTTATTTACTTTAGAACAATGGTAGAGGCATATGGTTAGAGGGTTCAGATATGCCCGCAACAGCCAGTTCAAGTTACAGTTACGCGTCTCGGACCTTTTAGAAGTACTGCTTACACTCCTCGATCCCTCTGTATACCTATACAATATCCTTTCATTGCCATACCTTTTTACCTCATCTTTTCCATTTCCATACTCTGCAATTTTTTCCATTAAATTTTCAAACTGCTAGGTAAACAGACCGTCACATAAATGGGACTAATTTACGTTCAGCAAAATATAGCCAACATGCGTAACTGTATAGTCGTGCCTAGATAATTTTGTTATTGAAAACGCACATAGATTACCAGTGCGTTAAAGCATATGTTTTGGGTCGAAATCTTAACAATCATCGTCTGATTAACAACGGTGACGCCGATTGATTTATTTCTCAATACACGTATAATTTAATTCATAATGATTGTGAACTAGTCAGAATATAAGCCATAGATATGATATATTTAACGATTCTAGTAATTTATTGCCCAAGTTATAAAGACTAATCTTTAAAAAGTAGAACGGTTGTTTTCTAAGACGAGGTTAATACCAGTCCACTTAGCAAAAAATCGTACACCGTTTTAACCACGTACGTGTACCTCTTACCGTAGGCCACGTATACCCATGAATATACTCATAATAAAATATACAATACTTGTAGTCGAAGTTGACCGGTTTAAACACAGGTGAGTGGCATCGCAAAGGACGTTTTCACTACAAATGACTAGATGCAAAAGTCAGTGGGGAAACTGGCACTCGGGAATGCGGGAATGGAACAAGCTCAGAATGAGCAGACATATTGTTCCTGAGTTTTTGCGTTTCTGAACAAAACATCATTACTTTTCGGTATAATAATATGTGTTCCGTTGGACTGCAACGCAATTTTTAATTAGATGCCGTCCCCTCTTTGCAATGAACACTAGTTTGCGTTGGTGGGTTTTTCTATGTACAGACAAAAAGAAAATATATCTATGTGTATTTCTCATGTTTTGGAACCCATAATTCAAGTTATGATTGGTTGAGGCCTCGAAAGCGATATATAATAAGTCCAGGAGCATCGAATCACTTACTTACTTTCAGAATGGAATGACATTATTATTATTTTATAGTTATGAAAAATGCATTTAAAAACTTTTTTTCAATGACGAGATTATTGTGTCAGTCATTAAGGATAAATTAAAAAAGATCGAATATTTAATTCGATTTTTCTTCCACAGGTTCGGCGGTGGTCAGCGTGTGTATGCGGCAGTTCGACGATGCCATATCGATCACAGTAGCAATTATCATCGTGGTGACTGTTGCATTCGTGCAGGAGTATCGATCGGAGAAGTCACTCGAGGAGCTCAACAAGCTAGTACCACCGTCATGCAACTGGTAAGCACTTCCTTTTTACTGTACAGAAATCACCGGATACTACCCACAAGATAACCGGTGGGGTGGTTATGTCGAACTATTCGGCTCTGCAATCTAGTTGTTTTTGAGATAATGGATTGTACGAATTGTAACCGAAGTAGACGCGGGTAGATTCAATATGTAAATTGTGTACAAAATTAGAAAATAATTTACAAAGATGTAATGAAAGCTAAATATTCAAATAAAATATAGTAGCATTAAAACTTTATCGAATAATTAATAGAGCTTAATAAAGAATTGATCGTCGGCAAAAGTTGATTTTAAGTCTTGAACTTTCCAGCTATCGATCCAATAATGATGGACTATTAGTTTAATGGATGACAAACTTGACATCAGAAATTGTTAGAATATTAAAGTTTTGATATTCGATATATAGTAACTTTTATTTTAAAGTATTTCTGTTCTTGTATATTTGAAGAAAGTGTAATTATTCAACAGGGATTCTGAAATAAATTGTCTCTAAATTACTATGTTGTGCCTTCGGTGTTTTAGCAGAAGGTTTCCACACAAAGAAAATGTATAAACAAAAGTGAGTTCTAATAACTCAATCTTGTTCTTCCCATAGTCTTCGGGAAGGCAGCATCGAACATTTCCTGGCCCGCAACCTTGTCCCTGGCGACATCGTCCACTTGAACGTCGGCGATCGTGTGCCAGCGGATCTCAGGCTTTACGACTCAGTAGATCTGGCAATAGACGAATCTTCGTTTACGGGGGAAACGGAACCCGCAGGCAAAAGTGTACTGCCAAATAAGGCAGCTGCGGGCAGAGTGAATAAAGATAACATCGCATTTATGGGAACTCTCGTCAGGTGTGGTAATGCTAAGGTGAGTTTTTGCGAACGGTGAAAAAATATGTGTATCTTTTTTTTCATGGTAAATAACTTGATGGTAAGTGATTACCGCCACTCATGAACACTTGCTACTTAAGAAACACAATTACATTACTGCCTTGATTGGCAGCAATGTGACTGATGTGTCGGTGCTTTGCTTTTGGAAAATATTGAATAAAAAAGTGTCTTTTACTCCTGTGTCTTTAGACTTGTGTTTCAAATACGAGTAAAATGGATCCAAGAGCAATGTTAACATCCATACTGCCATCGTCAACAGCCTTTATAACAGTCCACTGCTGGACATAGGCCTTTTCTTAATAGTGCTATAGTCGTAATGAGTTTGTTCCCTTAGTCGGCTCTTACTATACCCACGAGATGAGGGGTGGTGACACTCCGTATTCTTAAATACCTATATCACAAATGTGAAAGTGAGTTTGTTACGCTTTTAAGCCTAAACCACTTAACCGATTTTAAAAATTCTTTCACAAATGGATATCTACATTGTCAGCAAGTAACATAGGCTACTTTTACCGCAATAACCGACATAAACGCGGTTAGAGCCGTGGGCAAAAACTAGTATACTCATATAATAATGCGATAGTAGATTGTCAAATGAAATAAGTTATATCTAAGTAAGTAAGTACATAAGTTATCTTTGTTAATCGTCAAACCGATACATTATGTAAACACTTGTACGAAATCAGGTAAAATCCTTGTTTTTTTTTTAAACAAATGCCAACCCATTAGAACATAATAAGGAATCTTAACACACTTTCATAACATAAACATTTCTTAGAACTGTTACATAACTTAATCACATATCACAAATCTAATTATTATAAATCTGGGGAGAGATTGTCCCTTGGGCAGATACATAAAATCCAACTGTGTGTCGCAATATGAGGATAACGCCAAGTTTATATGTCGATAACAGAAACATACATATTATTAACATACACAATTAATTTTTTGTCTTCATTACCATTATAAAAAATAAAGGAGTGTCAGTTTTTTTTCGATTCTATTAATTTGTTTTTATTTTGTAAAAACAAAATATTCTTATATGTTTCAGGGTATCGTAGTCAGCACTGGTGAACGCTCCGAATTCGGAGACATATTCCGAATGATGCAAGCCGAGGAAGCTCCTAAGACGCCACTACAGAAGTCGATGGACGCTCTAGGCGCGCAGTTATCACTGTACTCTTTCTGCATCATTGGGTTCATCATGGTGACTGGTTGGCTGCAGGGAAAAGCTCTGCAAGACATGTTCACTATTAGCGTCAGTCTTGCTGTTGCTGCTATACCTGAAGGTATTTATTTCAACATTCCTTTACAAAAAGTCAACTCCACTAGGAATAAATTCCGTGGACTTTACATACCTACATGAAACAAACACAAAGAACACCCAGACTCAGTACAACAATTTTTGGATAACATAAAGTGTTGTCTCATTTGGGAATCGAACCCAGAACACTCAGCGTAGTAGGCAGCGGCGTGACCGCTTAAACCACCAAGCCACCCGTCTAAAAAACCTTGGTGTTAGAAACTCAACCTGTTATCTTAAATCGATTTGTCGTATGGTTATTTAGTTATGTTGAAAAATTTAAAAGGAAATGGCTCAGAATTTTTTTATTAGTAAAACAGCTTAATCTTACGTCGTTACGTTAATTTAACGATATAATTTAGTTTAGTTGTTTTCATTTTAATCGTATTTTGAACGATTTTAGGACTAGATTATCTCTAAGGTTTACTAGAACCGGTTACGAGGTTTGAAACACATTTATTTCTTTAGATAAAGTGGTTGCTAATAGATGACAGTAGCATTAAAGAGTTCATTTTTATATACTAACACACTTTAATATAGGTACGTTCTTATCGTGTAATCACTCGAGTGAAAAAATCGGGGGCTAAGAGCGTGAAACTTAACGTAGTTTTTGTTTTTATTTCGGAGCTCGTAAATTAACATACGACACAATGATTAAAGGTAATAGGTCGTATTTCTAATACCAAGTGTAAACTCGCAAATTGCAAAATTATAAAAAAAAAAACTGTAGTAGTCGAATTGTTAAAAGTATAGACTGAAAAGTTAGTAAAAGGAAGAAAATAAAATAATAAATAATAATAATATTGTACCACATTCACACAGCGCCAACTAGTCCCAAACTAAGCAGAGCTTGTACTATGGGTACTAGACAACTGATATAAATACATATATACTTTTTTTTTGTAAATACATACATATTATACATAGAAACACCCAGACCAAATCAAACATTAAATGTTCATGCACACAAATATTTGACTTGAGCGGGAATCGAACCCGCGACCTTTGGAATAGCAGTCCGTTATACAAACCACTACGCCATTCGGTCGTCGGAAGAAAGTTAGAACATTACTAGTACGAGTACAGTTGCGTTAGCTCTTCTTTTTAAAAGACAACTCCCGCATTAGAAAAACATCCTGTGTCGCGGGAGGACTTTACAAACATACATGAAATGGATACAAAGAACACCCACACTCAGAACAACAATTTGTGAATCACACAAAGTGTCGTCCAATGTGGGGATCGGACCCACAACACTCAGCGTAGTAGTAAACGGCGTGGTTACCGCTTAAACCACTACGCCATCCGCTATACGTTTGCTGCACAAACAAGCCAGAACAGGGGAAAGGATCGAGATGAAGTTTGGCAGAGAGATAGATTATACTCTGGAATCTTTATGCCAGGAAAATTTACGTTGCTGATGAAGTCGTGGGCGATGACTAGTACTATACATGCCAAAGGGAACTTGGTTGTTTGGGATGCTATTACGTCCGATCTACTAAAACGTTATGAAATTTTGTAAACACGTGAACAAGCATCAAATAAAACTAGTATGTTATTATACTAGGATATTAGCTGAGACCCGCGGTGTTACCCGCGTTTGTTGTTATAACCGCGGGCAACGCGGCGGGGCGAAGCTAGTCTAAAAAAAGTAGCCTAAGTTAATCCTTATGTCATCAGCTATCTGGCAGTGAAAGTCCCGTCGAAATCGGTCCAGCCGTTCCAGAGATTACCCTGAACAAACAGACAGACAGACAAAAAATTAAAAAAAATGTTTTTTTTGGCATATGTACCGTGTAAAAATACTCGTACATATGCATTTAGTAAAAAGCGGTTATTTTAATATTACAAACAGACACTACAATTTTATTTATTTGTATAGATATCATCTAGAATCATCAAAATGACTATACGCGAAAGTTAGTTCATAAAATATTTGATGCTAGCCTTTTCATATCAGTTTCTCCCTACCTCAAAGGCCGGTAATGCTCTCGTGACTTCTAAATTGCAGGCGTTCTTGGGCGGCGGTTGTAACTTTCCATCAGGTAATCCGTGTGCGTTACCTCCTACATCATAAAAAAATCTTTTTCTCCTATTGTAAGTAGGTAAGGTTATCCGTGTGGTGACGGATTAAGAATACGGAATGTCACCGCCCATTATAATCCCGTGGGTGTCGTAAGAGCCGACTAAGGGATCAAACAACGCAGGGCAACAGCACTGCAGAGAGAAGGAAAACTCGATACAAACCCTATATCAACCCGTCTGGCCAGGGTGGTATAGTAGGCCAAAACCTTCTTTCTAAGGAGAGGCCTATGTCCAGCAGTGGACTGTTATATGCTGTTGATGATAATGATGATGAAGGTTTGTGAAAGCGTACTAATTATGGATCAGATAGCAATGCTTACATATCCGTGACAATAGTGCGACGACGGTACGTGAATAAAGTGTGATGACATTAAATTGGTGACTTTAGCCTTCATTGGCAATTTATATGTCCCCTCGCGCACGTGTCTCTGATGGGATAGACAGAGGCGTAATAATATATTTTGGCAACTATGACTCGATCCTACTCACATAATAGAGGCTAGGCTATTGCCGTTAAACCGACACTTTTGGAATTCAAGACAGAGAATGAAATATATATTTCAGAAAACTTCTGTAAGTCATGCAGGTTTACGTATTTCGCCTTATTTTTTTATTAATAATAATAATAAGTTGTTCAGATAAAATACGGTAAGTAAATGTTCCTGTCTAGCCTTAACCTTTTAGTACTGCTGCAGTACCCGTTCACATTACCTGATTTTGACTTTTATCCTTTGCCCGTCTGAAAACAATTTCCCAAGAATTACTTTAATACAAGTGTATTAAAGTAATTCTGTCCGTGAATTGCAAAAGAGTGGCCATGAGTTTGTTTGTCCTTTCTTCTCATAAGGCTCAACCCCTTGGAAACGGGCGGTTGTAGATCGGCACACGCATATCATAGATTTTGTATGGGTCTGATTTTTGTTAAATTTATTTTCTTACTATTTGACAAAACAGAGGTTGTTGCTGTTGTGTGTGTTGATCTATGAATTTAGAGTCTACATAAAAGACGATTTCAAACTTTTTTTTTTATGAAATAAAGAGTTTGAATTTCCCAAAGAAAGTTGACATCTAGCATCATGAAGCGTATCCTCAAAACTCTACTAATATTATAAATATGAAATTTAACTCTGTCTGTCTGTTACGCTTTCACGGCTTTTTAAATTTGACACGCAGATACTTTGTTTCTTATACTGAGAACTGGTAATACACGTGGGGCCGCGGGAAAAAGCTTGGAGAAAATAAAATTAAAACTTGTTTATCTATACATGGTTTCAATAATGCAATATACCACTATTCCCTTTTTTTCCAGGTTTACCAATTGTGGTGACAGTAACGCTTGCCCTGGGCGTGATGCGAATGGCCAAAAGGAATGCCATCGTTAAGAAACTACCCACTGTTGAAACGTTGGGATGTGTTAATGTCATCTGCAGCGATAAGACAGGTAAATATGGCTTGGCTCTTAATAACGCTTCAATATATAAATAGAAAAAAAAAAGTTTAAAAAAACTAAAAAACACGCTTTTATAGAAAACCAAACTAAAAAATAGAAAATATTTTTTTATAAATTTGAAAAAAAAGCGTTTGGTGCCTGTTGTAAATGGTGAAAAGAAACTTTTTTTAAACAATTTTTTTCATAATATATTTTTTTAAGTAAGTAATTTAAAATAAAAAATAAATAATATTAAAATAATAATAATGGTTTAGCGTGCAGCGTGGGGTGCTTTTTACTATTGACAACAGGCACCCAACGCTTTTTTTTTTAGTTAGTTTGGTTTTTAGTTTAACTTTTTTTTTGTTCTGAAGCCTTGCATGTACACACCATAATTAATTTGTATGTTGGTACGCCGTGTTGCCCAGAAAGTTATCAGTTATCATACACCATATATGTACATATGGTGAACGATGTAGCTTGCGCATTCTCCCATGGGGTTGAGCAGCGGCAGAATATGTGTGCTATCTATACACCATTTCATACATAGCCCTCTCCTTAGAAAGGAGGTTTTGGCCTACTATACCATGCTGGCCAAACGGGTTGGGATTGGGTTTGTTTTAAGTTTTCCTTCTCTTTGGAGGGCTGTCGTTCTGCCTAGTTGCTCTCTTAGTCGGATCTTACGACACCTACGGGATGAATAGGGGTGGTGACACTTCGTATTCTTAATCCGTCACACACACCTATATATGTTGTATACACTATTTGTCCTAACCTCTTTCATATTTCATCAGTTGTATTATTATTATTTCTAACTCCTAAAATAGTTGGTAATTCTACTAATCAATAATTATATGAGTCCTAGTGATTAGACCAAATAAAAAGTGTTAGACCTATTGGACTTGGGTTCGATTCCCACCCAGGACATATAATTCTGTAATGATCACGATCATTTATTTTTTGTCTGAGTGTAATTTATCTATAATATATATGTAGGTATGGAGACACAAATATATGTATGTGCATCAGCAGTCTGGTTTACTATAGCACAGGCTCTGCTTAGCTTTTAATCAGACGGTGAGGTTATTACTGTTATATTTTATTATGTATAACTTGTCAGGGACCCTTACGAAGAATGAGATGACTGTGACGACAATATCCACGTCTGGTGGACACATAGCTGAGGTGACGGGCACCGGCTATAATGCGATGGGTGACATACAGTTGCGTGCTTATAAAGGACGCGATCTGGATGTCGCCAGGATGGCTGTTAATACTATGTTAGAGGTATGTTCATATCATTTTATTTAATTAAATTAATGTTAGACCATTGGCGTTTAGAAAATAGTGACGCATCGATCAATCCCCGCCCGCTGACCAATCAGGTTCCAAGAAATTATCTTTTCGTATGAAAGCTTGAAACCTGATTGGCCAGAGTTCGAGGCTTCTGTCCATGCGTCACCATTTTGTAAACGCGAATAGACTGTAGTATTTGACCAGGTCAATGGAAAAAGGGCATTGCATGATCGATTGTTACAAGATTGATTGTAATTTTATTAAATTCGGAAATGTTCAGTAATTAAGCCCTGAAATAATTTCAAAGAACAAACTATTTTAAGGAAGGGCAACTGATGGAAAGTGACTACCGTCGGCCATTAACGCCTTGCAATTATGATTTTTTGTTATTTATTTCACACAGATCTTAAATATTTATTGTAATACTTCCTTTCGAAGTCAGGATGGCCACAAATCGGTACTCTTTTAGGACGAAAGAGAATGAGCTTTTGCTGAGTGAAATGGCAGATTCAACGAGCTCCTAGTTCATCGCCTAAAATTATGATATTTTTTATAATAAATATGCATAAATGAATATACAGGGTGTAAGGGACATCGTAACGAATACTGAAATAGTGTATTCAGACTATGATTCTGAGTCTAAAATTTTCGGTTAAAAATGATATCACAATGAGTGAACAGAACATTTCACAGAAAACATATTAATAAATACCGCATATGGTCAAAAATTGAAATGTAATTAATCGAACATCCCATCCTGCCGCCAACTTGTGTTAGTGTGCGTAGACTGTTTGCACGGAATACACATGTAGTTATTACTTTTGTGCGATATCTACGGGGAATGACCTTTATCTTTGACAGCTGATTGCATAAAAAGTTTAATTTTTCGGCAGAAAATTGCAATGATTTTAGGCTCAGAATGATTTCTGAGCCTAAAATCATTGGAATTTTCATACATAGTAAAGAATTCTGAAATAGTGTATTCTGAATACACTAGGTATATTATACTAATATTAGGTCTGAATACACTATTTCAGAATTCTTTACTATGTCCTTTACACCGTGTATGTATGTGTATGTACGTTTATATATGTATGTGTGTGGTATTCAGATGTATACACCTAATTCTAAGACAGTTGGTATTTAAGAAAGCCTCTATCATTTCTTATCCTCCCATAAGTGCACCTACCTCATTCTGTCTCAGCATCGCGCAATCGGTCGACTGGCAGAAAATGCCTTAGGTAATACCTAGTGCGCCGATGCATTTACTTGTGCAAAAAGTTATAAAATAAAATAATAGAAATTATTGTTCACTTTGTGTTAAAAACAATTTTTATTATTTTTCTTGGCTCATAGTAGGTCTCTACAGCTTTATGGCAGTACAAGATAGGACTAAACTAGACCGTTAAACTATTCAAGTACGTAAATGCGTAAGTGAGGTTGTTGATATGGTTGTGTTGGCAGGTGGGCGTGCTGTGCAACAACGCGCAAATCCGCGACGGCGCGCTGTACGGCCAGCCCACCGAGGGCGCGCTGCTGGCGTGCGCGCTCAAGCACGGCCTGCAGGACATGCGCGACCACCACACGCGCCTGCACGAGATACCTTTCAGGTGAGCGCGCCCAAACCACCGGTACTAAACTATGCCATCGAACATGCATAAAAACTAGAAATTTAACTGTATTAAAAAAGAAATCTGTTTTTCCATGTATTTTCAACGAAAACAGGAACCTCTTTTATGAAATGGGGCTCAAACGAGCAGACGGGTCTACCGCCGCTCATGGAAACCTACACTCAAGAATCACATTCCGCCTCTTCAGTTCCTTCCCCAAAATCAGGGGATCGGGGAGAGTTTGGACTTGGGTAACCTCACTCACTCGGCGAAAAGCAACAAAGGAACAGGCCTAAGTGCGTGTTTATATCACATCTACCCGATCGTCACGGTGACCGCGTTCGGCGATGCGATTGGCCCGCACTGAAATATGCACCAATCGCAACTCCGGACGCGCTTACTGTCGAGAGCGAGTTGATGTCAAATAAACTCGCTCTAAGCCTTTTGCTGAACACCGGTTTCCTGTGAGACCGTGTTATCATTCCGGTCGTGCTGGCCCATATATGCCGAAGCATCGCTCTCTCACGGTCAAATAGATAGAATAAATACTACACAAAAATCCCGCGAATTTTTGCTACATAATCACAGTTGCTTACTGAGTTTTACCAATCGTTTGCAGTTCCGAAACGAAAATGATGGTTGTGAAATGCGCACCCAAATTTTCCGACGGCAAGCTTAAAGAGGAGGTGTTCGTCAAAGGTGCCATAGAGAAAGTGTTACCTCTGTGCAACCAGTACATCGACAGCGCGGGCAACTACGCGCCCATGACTAAGGAGAAACAGAATGACTTTATCGCTGAAGCGTATAATATCGCCAGAATGGGTAAGTGGTAAAATAAAAAAAAATGGATTCCTAACGTATTCCTACGTAAACGACTTTTTTGTGTCCATTTAAATGCCTATGCCTTTAGCACTGCTAGCTGCTTAGTTAGGGGAACTGCGGTACGGAATAGGGTGGGGCCTTGATCGAATTAAGATACGATCGGGCCGCAAAGTGGTTATTGGACTGACTGACGGAGGACAGCTTGCAGCTAACCCTAAGTTAAGTCCGGGTTAGGCCCGCCGTTTATCCTTGGGGAGGGGAGGGGGATTGGGCCCGAAAGCATATGGTCTGGGTTTTTCCCAGAATCCGGCACCTGAGGCATACTAAGGCACACCTACACACCGATTTCAAATAGCTTCACTTTACAAAACCGTTCATGTGGAGAGACCTGTTGACGACTGTACCTCGACATATAGCTTGAGATTACATGTTTTAATGTTCACGTGAGTCCCAGAGTTCGAAAATGATACGCCTCCTGTTGGATATTCTGCTGACCCCTTCGGACGGTTTCTAAGTCTCCGCCAAGAAGCCAAATGGGACCTGGGTAAGCTGCCACTCATGTGGCCAAATAATTGGGTAGTTTGCATAATTTTGGATGATCCAATTTTCGTTGCCGATTACATTGCTGATGTGGTTCTTCAGTGTATGGAACTTTTCCTTCCGTCCTCTTTTTCCATTGATGGCAAATCCCAGCTTTGGTTCGGTATCTTCTGTGAATGGTGTCTTGAAAAAAGCTGTAATTTTGCAAAGAATGGGAAAATGCAAAGTCTGTAGGTTAAGTTTTGGATGAAGTGCGAAATTTACCGAGACTAGCGATTGACATAGGCGGTGGTAGTCAGTATGGACATAGCGAAGGCCTTCGATCGAGTATAGCACTAAGCGCTTCTTTTCTTCTTCTCTTCTTCTTCTTGCAGCTGGTTACAAGTTTTCCTGCTGTCTGAAGCATCAAGCTCGTTGACGATGGTTTATTAGTATAAAGTCGGAGGACTTTAAGTTTGTCAATGCTGAACTTAGACTGTTTCTTCTGCATTTAATTTGCCTACCGATTGCGCCAAAATTTCTTAAGAAACAGTCATATTGGTCGAACAAAATTTGTGTTTAAAATCGGAGAAATCTAATCAATTGCCACCAAAATACAGGTTTGCTCGATAAGTCCTAAATAATACTGCTTTAGTTTTCACTCTGTTGTATCGTCATAATTCTTTCTTTTTCTGACTGCACGCCGCTTCTTACAACGCCGAGTGTTGTGGGTTCAAACCCCACATGGGACGACACTTTGTGTGATGCACAAATTGTTGTTCTGAGTCTGGGTGTTCTTTGTGTCCGTTTCATGTATGTTTGTAAAGTGGGGACTTTACACACGCGACACAGGATTTATTCCTAATGCGGGAGTTGTCTTTTAAAAAAAAAAATATTGGCGTTCAAACGAAATCTAGTTTTTACAGATAATATTATCATCATCATCAACAGCCTTTGACAGTCCACTGCTGGACATAGGTCTCTCTTTAGAAAGGAGGTTTTGGCCCACTATACCACGCTGGTCTACGGGTCAGTAAGGGGTTTGTGTCAAGTTTTCCTTCTCTTTGCAGTGTAGTTGTCCTGTGTAGTTTGCTCGGTTAGTCGGCTCTTACGACACCCATGGGATGAAAAGGTGTGGTCCTTATTCATCATCCTTCACCTTCACCACGCGTACAGATAATATGCAGATGGTATTTCACTTCGGTTTACCGTTCACAACATAAAATCTTGAATTGTCGATTGCAAGGATATTTAAGTTTAAGTTTGACTTACTCCTCAGGTGATGCAGCTTCAGGTTGCGCTTTCTACCGTTTGTAATATGGGCAGTGGTATTGAATCGCGTGCGTGTTATCTTAACATTATCTTATGTGTGTTGTGTACCTTTTGTAGAGTAAAGATTAAAAGGTTTATACATTCGAACAGGGCTGCGGATAATAGCGCTGTGCCGGGGCAGGGGGATGGAGGCGCTGACGTTCACGGGCGTGTGCGGCGTGTGCGATCCACCGCGCGAAGGCGTGCGTGACGCCGTGGCTACGCTGGCGCGCGCCTCCGTCGACGTCAAGATGGTCACCGGCGCCCCGGGGCCCCCGTGCCGTACGTACCCCGTTCACTACCCGACACGTACATAACCTGGCACCACTCCGTCCGGGTCCGCGACGTCAATGGTCCCCGGACCCCCCGTGACACGTCCCCGACGTACATTAACCCTGCCCAATTAAAACTGGGCACCTTCGCGGGGTTTTACCGTAAAAGGCACCGGGCGCGCCCCCCGGTCCCCTTGAAACCCCAATTGTAACGCCTTAATTTCCCACACGGAACACGGACGGCGCCCCCGGCTCGCGGGTCACCGGGAGCCGCCCCCGCGCCCCCCGGGTACGTCGCCGACCGCGTCCGTACACTGCCACACGCCCACCGGCCCGTCCCGCTCGTTGGTACGAAGGCACCCCGCGCCCCCACGGCCCCCCGGGAACGTACCCCCTTTAACTCCACACTGACACAACCCACCCCCCGGGGGTACCCTGCCGCCGACGTAAAAGGGCACCCGCGGGCCCCCGGGCCCGGGCCCCGCCTTACCAAAAATTCCCCAACGACACCACCGTGCGCGGCCCCCGCGTAAGTTCGCCGCGCCCCCCCCGGCCGGCCCGGCCCACCCCCGCGTAACATGGTAACTGACCCGGCCTTAACCCGCCGCCCCGGGTCCCCGGGCCGCCCCGACGCAAGGTCCCGGGCCCCCGAACCCCGCCCCCCCTCCGTAAACCCATCCACACGACACCCTCCCCCCCCCCCCCAAGGGCAGGTACACGGCCCGCGCCCCCCCCAACGCCCACCCGCGCCACTGCCTACATGCCCCGGCACCGCCCCCCCCCGTGCGTCCCGCGCCCAGGGTCACTGGCCCCCCCCAGGGCACGCCGCCGCCCTCACACGCCGACGGTCCCACCACCGGCCGCCCGTCGACCCACAGGCCCGGCGACCGCCCCCCCCGGCCCCTTTCCCCGTCCCCGCCGTCCTCACAAATCACAGGACCCGGCACCGGCCCGCCCTCCGTACCCCGGGACCGGCCCGCCCCGCCCGCCGCAACTTTCCCCCCTGCCCCCTACGTAAAATTTCCACGGCACACGACACCGGGCGCCGCCCGTCACCAAGGGCACGGGACGGGCCCCCACCGGCCCCCGGGCCCGGCGCCCGCCCGTCCCCTGTCACCGGACACGGCCGCCGCCGCTCCCGTCACGTCAAGTTCCCCGGCCCCGGGCCCCCCGCGCCCCTCCGTCGGACCCCCTGACCGCACGGGCACTGACCCCACGGCAACGTCCTCGGCGCCCCCGACGTAAATGGTACCGCAACCCGGCCCACCGGCCCGGGGCCCCCCTCGATCGAATTACCGACGCCCCCACGGGCCGGGGGTTCCCGCCTCCTCACGTCATGTACAAAACCCGGCACCGCCCCCGCGCGCCTCCGTCGACGTCACTGCAGGGGACCGCCCCCCGGGCCTCGCCCGGTACACCCCGCTCTACACGTAAGGGGCATTTACCGGACCACGGTCCCCGGGGACGCCCCGCGCTCCTCGGTCACCCCGCCGCCCCACGCCCCCCGGTACGTCCCCGCGCCCCCAAGTCCCGGTCAGGGCACCACGGACCCGGCCACGGCCCCGCTCGTCCCCCCAAACAAGTCCCCGGGCCCCCCGGCCCGCGGCGCCCCCATAAAACCCCCCGTGCCCAAACCCTCAGGGCCCCCGGCCGCCCCGCGAAGGTCCCCGGGCACGCCGCCTTCCCCGAAGGGTACTTACCCCCGTCACGTAACGGTACCGGGACAAACACGGCACCGCCCGGCGCCCGGACCAGGGTTACATGCACCACCGGGCCCGGGCCGGTGGGGCCCTCCCGACGTCAATGGTAAAATGCCGGACCCCCGGCCGCCGCCGTACCCGAGCCCCGTACAGGGCACGTACCTTTCACGGGGGCCCCGGGCTTCCCGCCAAAGTACCGGCAGCGCCCCACCCGCTGCGACGCCCCCGGGCCACAGCCCCACCAAACACCGGTACGCGCGCCGCGCCCCGTCGACGAAGTCCCCGCCGCCCCCCCTGCCCGGTACGTTAACCCCGGCCCCATTACACACAGGGAACACCCTCCCGGTCCCCGGGGCCGCGCCCCGGCCGGGCCCGGGGCACGCCCCCCCGCGCCGCCCGGGCCCCCCGGGGCCCACCCTTTTAACAGTCAAAAAACCCCCACAGGCACACGCTGCGCGCCCCTCGTCGTAAGTGGCACGGGCGCGCCCCCCGCCCCCGGACAACCGCCCCGCCCTTTCACGTAACTTCACACTCCCCAAAGCACGGCCGGCCCCCGTCCCCTTACGTCCCCCAAAACGGCACCGGCGCCGGGGTCCGCCCGTCTCCGCAGTACACCCAACCGCCGACCCGGTAAAACGTACCCCGCTGCGGTCGGCCCCCCGGGGAAAAAGGGTCACCGGGGGCCGCCCCCGCCCGTCTGTCGGTACCCCCCACGGACCCCTTTTTACGTCCCCCTGCCCCCCAGGTCACGCGGCGCCCCTCAACGAAAAGGCACCGGACGCCCCCGCCCCCTCTCCCAAAACCTGTACAACAACCCCACCCCCCCCGCTACGTCCGCCGCCAACTGTACTAACACTGGCCACCGGACGCGGGCCCCCGCCGGGTGTCCCGCACGGAACGCCCCGGGAACGTCCCCCCTTTCGACTTCCCGACGTACACGGCACCCACGTACCCGGCCCCGCCCGTACCCCCCGGGGCCCCCCGTCCTTAACATGCCACGCCCCACGGCACCGCCGTGGGCCTCCCCGAAATTACATGCACGACCGCGCCACCCCTCCGTCCGAAACGTCCCCAAATGCCCGCCCCGGCACCCGGCCCCCCGGTACGTCACGCCCTTCCGCGCAATTCCCCGGGGAACGCCCCCCCCCGCCACTGCCCGACGTACCCAGGGCCCCCGGCGTCCTCCCGAACGTACACTGTACACTATACACACTGGACACACGGTACACGCTGGCGCGCGCCTCCGTCGACGTCAAGATGGTCACCGGCGACGCGCGCCCCACCGCGCTCGCCGTCGGTACGTACCCCCGCATCGTACACTGTACACTGTACACTGTACACTATACACACTGGACACACGGTACACGCTGGCGCGCGCCTCCGTCGACGTCAAGATGGTCACCGGCGACGCGCGCCCCACCGCGCTCGCCGTCGGTACGTACCCCCGCATCGTACACTGTACACTGTACACTGTACACTATACACACTGGACACACGGTACACGCTGGCGCGCGCCTCCGTCGACGTCAAGATGGTCACCGGCGACGCGCGCCCCACCGCGCTCGCCGTCGGTACGTAACCCCCGCATCGTACACTGTACACTGTACACTGTACACTATACACACTGGACACACGGTAACACGCTGGCGCGCGCCTCCGTCGACGTCAAGATGGTCCACCGGCGACGCGCGCCCCACCGCGCTCGCCGTCGGTACGTACCCCCGCATCGTACACTGTACACTGTACACTGTACACTATACACACTGGACACACGGTACACGCTGGCGCGCGCCTCCGTCGACGTCAAGATGGTCACCGGCGACGCGCGCCCCACCGCGCTCGCCGTCGGTACGTACCCCCGCATCGTACACTGTACACTGTACACTGTACACTATACACACTGGACACACGGTACACGCTGGCGCGCGCCTCCGTCGACGTCAAGATGGTCACCGGCGACGCGCGCCCCACCGCGCTCGCCGTCGGTACGTACCCCCGCATCGTACACTGTACACTGTACACTGTACACTATACACACTGGACACACGGTACACGCTGGCGCGCGCCTCCGTCGACGTCAAGATGGTCACCGGCGACGCGCGCCCCACCGCGCTCGCCGTCGGTACGTACCCCCGCATCGTACACTGTACACTGTACACTGTACACTATACACACTGGACACACGGTACACGCTGGCGCGCGCCTCCGTCGACGTCAAGATGGTCACCGGCGACGCGCGCCCCACCGCGCTCGCCGTCGGTACGTACCCCCGCATCGTACACTGTACACTGTACACTGTACACTATACACACTGGACACACGGTACACGCTGGCGCGCGCCTCCGTCGACGTCAAGATGGTCACCGGCGACGCGCGCCCCACCGCGCTCGCCGTCGGTACGTACCCCCGCATCGTACACTGTACACTGTACACTGTACACTATACACACTGGACACACGGTACACGCTGGCGCGCGCCTCCGTCGACGTCAAGATGGTCACCGGCGACGCGCGCCCCACCCCCCGCACCCGCATCGTACACTGTACAATTTTAACACTTGGCTTCCACTCATACATATATACTATATACGGCTTTCAAGGCCTCTTAAGGCTCATGGCTTTCTTATTTCGGTGTAGCCAGAAATAATGGATTTTATTCTTGTATCCCTCACAAATTTTTTTGGTTGTCCTTTAATTAGTTAGTGATCGTGGGTTCCATTCCCACCAAGGACAATTAATTTTGTGATGAACACGATCAAAACGTATTTAGTAACATATAAAGAAAGTGATTAAAAAAATACTTCCCATAGTCCAAAAATACTTACCTTAGTCCAGGCTAAGGGTGTCTCAAGTTAATGTGATTATTCTCCTTATTTCTAATAAAAAACAAATTATTTCATGAATACATAAACATCTAATTATATATGATCTCACGACGGGTTAGTTACACCATCTATTATTAAAAAACGGTTGAACTTTTGTTAAAGGGTATAATTTATTTATATTTTTTAACATCCCCAATCTATAGAAAAAAAACACATTGTATTATTTTCACATACATTGTGTATGAAAGATCTGCTTTTGCATTAGTCCTTTGATCCAGTGGTCTTTTTAAGGTCAAGTTTCTTGGCTCAAAATCCATGATCAGCAGCATGAGAATTTACTACATTATAATTTTATTGTCATAAATATGCGTAACTGTTTATGATGTTTCAGCTCAAATGGTCGGTCTGGACGTGTTGCATTCGCAATCTTTATCTGGTGAACAACTGGACTCTATGCCAGACGATGAACTTGACAGAATTATTGATACGGTAATAATATATCCTTTACACTTGTTACATGTAAGAATTTGTTTATTTAGTGGACTGCCAGTAGTTGTCACATTATTTACTAAAATCTAATTCGTACATCCATTATATTGAGATTAATGCTTAACATTTTAAGGTGTCACATCATGCATGATAGAGTAGCATTATATGAAACGTCTATGTGGTGACAGTCTAACCCGTGGGTGTTGTAAGAGTCGACTAGGGGAGCAAACTACGCAGAACAACAGCACTGCAAAGAGAAGGAAAACTTGAAACAAACCCTATACCAACCCGTCTGGCCAGCGTTATACAGTAGACCAGAACCTCCTTTCTAAGAGGCCTATGCCTAGAATTCTCTTAATGATCATTTCCACTGACCACTTACTAACAACTTGTGGCTCGTAGGCTACAATAACCTTTTTAGGAGCCAGGAGTACCTGGCTCCTAAGTCCCCGAGAAGCAGGAGATCCGAAGGGAGTTTAAACCCCATTATAAAAAAAAAGGCTACAATAGCCTCATTCGTGATGGTAGATCGATCGATACTCATTATTATAATTAAATTATGAACGTTATTAACTTTCAGGTGAGCGTCTTCTACAGAGTAACACCCAAACATAAGTTGGCTATTGTGAAGTCACTACAAAGGGTGGGAAATATTGTTGGCATGACTGGTTAGTATACAACTGTTTTATTTATTTTATTTTATTTATTTATTACCCCACCAACGGCGAGTACACTATTACAATGTATTTATAAACATATGAATTTTAAAGTTAAGCATCACGCCACTTAAAGGTAGGCACAGCATGGACCAACAAAAGTGCAATAACAATTTACAAAAAATAATGTGAACTTAAAAGTTATTATAAGACTTACAAAAACTTACAAAACAAAGAGAAGCAAAATCAAATTGAAAAATATACAAATAAACCCCTACAAGCTTACATTTCTTGTATCTAATACAATTCTCTTGATTCGAGGCACGGATGTAAAGTTAATATCTATTATATTGGCAAAAGGTTGAAATGCAGCAAATAATCGGGCTATTGAGTAATGCAATTTAAGGTTCGTGTGGCATTTAGGTCTACAGAAATATTCTCGCCTAGTACAAGACCTAGCGTTTAATCTAGGAACATTGAAGCCAATCCTGCTGAGCAACTCGGGGCAGTTCCTTAGAACAAACAAAGCAATAGGTGCCAAAATTTCAATCTATAGCCTCAGCGGTTTAGACTCTGTGCTAATGAATCAGCTGGTCAGTCAAGGCAACTCATTTTTAATGGATTGACGTAACGAATGAAACGGTTTAAAGACAGCTCCCGCATTAGGCATATATCCTGTGTCGCGGCAGGCTTTACAAACATACATAAAAGGGTCACAAAAAACACCCAGAATTAGAACAACAATTTGTGGATCACACAAAGTGTCGTCCCATGTAGGGATCGGACCCACAAAGCGTAGTAGTACGTACGAACGGTCTTTGTTTGACTTGGAATAGACTCCTTGGAGTAGAATTTCTATACAGAATAGTTTCGTGTGTGAAGTGAAGTGTGTTACTGTGTGACACAGTCACTAACCTCAAAGCTACATTAGTTTTACATAAAAAGGCAACATAACTGAAATTATTTTGGTTTTAGGTGATGGTGTGAACGACGGTGTGGCCCTGAAACGCGCGGACATCGGTATTGCGATGGGGCGGAATGGGACCGACGTCTGCAAAGAGGCTGCTGATATGATACTCGTTAACGATGACTTTGCCACCATAATGTATGTATATTGTTATGCATAGTGATGTGATTGCTGTTAGATAACTTTATCGATGTTAAAAGAATATGATCTCTGCTATCCATACTAATACATTCTTATACATATATCCATGCTTATACATATGAAAAGGGGTTTGTTTATTTGTTTGTTACGCTTTAACGCCTAAACCACTCGACCGATTTTAACCGAAATTTTAATTTTCTAACCGAAACTCACTTTCACCAATGAAAAGCTACGTTATCAGCGAGTAGCATAGGCTATTTTTTATTGCATTAACTGATATACACGCTGGCGGATTACCATAAATATTGCAAAATATTCCGATTTCTGTCTAAAAGTCATGTAAATCGCAAAAAAATTAAGAGAAATTTTAGCTAGGTTCATCATCATCATCATCATCAGCCTATCGCAGTCCACTGCTGGACATAGGCCTCTCCCATTGCACGCCACTTAGATCGATTTTGATCGATATTTCGATTTTAGCTAGGTTAGCATTTTTCAAATTTTAATACAGTTTTCGTCTGTAAATATAGGAATTATTCACAAAGAAGTATAAATAACTATAGATATAAAACATTCAACAATTTTTTGAAATTCCCTATTAATATGCTGAAGTTGTTTAACTCCTTTAATTCATCCAACTGTTTTTTTTATTTCAGATCGGCTATAGAAGAAGGCAAGTGCATATTCTACAACATCCGGAACTTCGTACGATTCCAGCTCTCCACGTCTATCGCTGCGCTGTCGCTTATCGCTCTCGCTACTCTCATGGGCATACCAAACCCGTTGAATGCTATGCAGATTCTATGGATCAATATTATTATGGACGGTGAGTTTGATCCCATTTTTTGTCTTAAATGTATGCATGCCTGTACAAACCAGTTTGAGTAGACCTTCATACCTACTCAAACTGGCTTGTACTGTCTCATCATTATCTGCTTACCCTTATCCCAATTTTATGTGGAGTTGGTGCAGTATGTATTTTTTGTCCATTCTACTCTCATTCACTGTTTACTCCTGTCCTACCAATATCCTCTCTCACCAGTCCATCCATTTTTGTGGTTTTCCTCTTCTCTTGTACCCTTCAACTCCTACACCTAACACTTCGCCACATTTTCCTCATTCCTCCGCATGCCATCTCCATGCCAAGATAACCTATTACACTTTAAATTTTCATCCAGTGGCGCTACTTTCAGAGTCCCTTGTATTTACTCATTCCTGATCTTATCCATCCACACCACACATCTCAGCATTCACATTTCACTTCAGGCGTCTCTCACCCATTCCCTTAATGGACCAACTTTCAGAACCATACAGGACGACAGGTCTGATAATAGTTCTATGTATTTGTACTGTGTCTGTTCTGTTAAATATTAGGATTTGTAGTTTTGGTGAACACGGTTTGTCTGCGAGTAATAAGTGTAAAACATAACATGCTTATTGTGTTTGTGTGTGTAATAAGAGACCTTGCTCTATTCTATTGTATGTTGGTAACCAGATAACGTGGAAGATGATGTTGCTTCTTTCTAACGTTTTCGACCGAGTGACAACTGGGTTGGATATTTGAAGAAATGTAATCACTTTGGAAAACTACCCCGTCTGTGGACGCCTGTATCTCAAATGTCACAAGTGGGTTGCTCCTATCCTAGAATCAGTGGGAGGAGGGGTTTGGGCTCCAGTAACCTGATTCATTCTGTGAAAAGCTATGAAATAATCTTTGGTTTTTGTAAGGTCGTGGTATCATACCGGTCGTGCCGTTCCATGTGCACAGAAAACATCCACATAATTTTTATGTTTTTTATTCAACATAAATGAAATATGCAAGCTATAATTTTACGTCTCTAAAACTCAATACCCAAGTTAGAACAACTTATATCATTTATGTGAATATTGTTTAGCAAATGATATTCCTCGATGCAGTAAGTTCCCGTTCTATTGTTACATTCTTGCGTCTAAATGCGGAAAACGAAGCCTAGCCTGATATTCTAGAGTGTATAGTCGTTTTATTATTATTATTTTCTATTTTACTTTACTTTTTCTTTTATAAGATTTTTTTTTTAAATCTTATTTTCTTTTTATTGTGTTTTTATATTACAGTCCTTAATAACTGACATAGTGGTACATATCAAAACAATGTTGTGGTATATTTAATGATGCCATTGTATCTATCTGTAAATTGTAAAAGAGTGGTCATATTTTTTTGCCCTTTCTTCACATAAGGCTCAACCCCTTGGAAACGGGCGGTTGTAGATCGGAAAGGCATAAAAGATATTTCGGATATGTATATATTTAGCTTGCCAAATTTTTAACAAAACAGAGATCGTTGCCATATCGTATGTTGATCTATGACTTTAGAGTCTACATACAAGACGAGTTTGTATAGCAAATGAAATTCCTGGATGCAGCAAGTTCCCTGTCTGTCGACACGTGTAGTGCATAGAGTGCGATGTGGTTGCAGGGTTAAAGAGATGTGTTCGGGCTATGGTGGGCATTTCTCCTTATGAATCTTGCAAACTTTATTTTAGAAAATATGAAATATTACCGTTGCCCTGTTTGTACATCTTTGAAGTAAGTGTATTTGTTAAAAGTAACCCTAGTTTATTTAAAAAGGCAAAAGAAATGTTCCTACGCAACACTCGGGGCTGTGAAAGACTAGTCCTGGATATTGTTCCCAGAACTACACTATTGAGTGCTAATTCACACCTCGTGCGATTAGAACGCGTTCTTAGTGGTTAACAAATATAGTAAACAACTAACCGGTTTCTTATCGCTCGGCGCAGCGCGATCGGCGCCCGGCCGTCTGTTGTGTGAAGTTAATATGAACCATATTCTGAATGGCTAGCGGACGTGTTTACAATGACTGCGATGAAAATTCCATAGTTGACCAGCGTGGTGAGACTGACCATACATATTGTTTAGAGGAGAACATGGAGACAAATGAAGAACTAACAAATAAGCGGTTAAGAATCGAGAATGGTGAAAAAGGATGGCAGACGGTTGCGAAGAAAAGAAAATCTATAGATCTTTCCAGCACGAATCGGTAGAAAATATGTGGCAGATATGCGTATATTCTAAAGAAAAACTACCTAAGCAATTCGCTATGGCAAAGTTACTAAACGAAAATAAAATAACTGGAGTCACAAGAGTTAAATATGTTAACCCTTATAAGGTATCATTCACTTTTGATAAGGAAATTAACGCCGAGAAGTTTTTATCTTGTACCGCCTTAAGTGAACTTGGTTGGCGCCGACAAAAAACTTGGGAAATTGACTTATGCTATGGAATCATCAAAGATATAGATGTAGAACTATCAGAGGCGGAGCTCATAAAATGTATTCGGGCTGATAAAGACCTTGTGACCGTTAAGCGGATGAATAGGAGAACGGAGGAAGGATGGACTCCGAGTGAAACCGTGAGAATTGGTTTTAAGGGTAATTCTTTACCAAGTCATATTTATTTAATGGACCTACGAATTGCTGTCTCTCCGTTTGTGTTCCCTGTGACACAATGCTCACGATGCTGGAGGTTCGGTCATACATCGAAGATGTGCCCCTCTAACAAGCCTCTCTGCCCGAAATGTGGCAAAAATGATCACGCAAACTGTGATATACCTATTTATAAGTGTGTCAACTGCTCTGCTAATCATATTTCACTATCAAGGGATTGTCCAGTTTACGCAAGGGAAAGACGGATTCGTGAGATTATGTCACAGCTGAAGTGCACTTATCAAAAAGCCGTGACTTTTATTCCGCCTTCTCCGCGTCGTACAGCCGAAGCAAACAAGTTTTTAATTAATAGCAACAATGGCCTTGCCTCTCAAGGATCATTTAACACCAGTGCACCAAGTATTGACACCGAACAATTCGAATTAGCCGAGATCAACGGGCGACCAAAGACAACTATCACAAAAAAGACTCACAAAAAAAAAGAAAACAAAAGTTCCGGTCCACCTGTCCGATAATGTTATAGTGGATATGTTTGTCACTGACTCTAACCCCGAAGATTCAGCTGACCCTCAAGATTCTCAAACTACACAACCTCATACAAGGAAAAAATCTCGCGAAATATCGCCACTTCGGCGTGTGTGGGAAAACATTAAAGAGATGATACATAACATAAAAAATCAGATTCAAACACAATTTAAGGATGGGTTAAAAGTGGTTGTAGATTGGCTTAACATATTCCTAAGTAATTTAATACCCGATATGTCTGTTTTAAAAAATATATTTACGTCAGTTAATGGATAACGCTTCCAATACATTAATTAGATTGAACATAATACAATGGAATGCCCGAAGTATTAAGCCCAAACTAAAGTCATTCGAACAGTTATTAATCCAAGAACACATCCATATTGCGGTGGTAAGTGAAACATGGCTTGCACCAGATACTCATGTAAATATCAATAATTACTATATTTTTCGTCTGGATAGGGATGGATATGGTGGTGTGGCAATTATAGTGCATAAATCAGTTCAAACACGACGGGTTGAAATACATAGAACTAATTCTGCTTTAGAATTAATTCATATAAAATTATTTAATTGCAATCAATTAGAACATTTAATTGCCATCTACTGTGCTCCGGAATCGTCGACAAATTCTCAGACATGGGACTATTTGTTTTCTATGGCAAACAGAAAGTCGCTTATATTAGGCGATTTTAATGGACACCATTCAAACTGGTCGTACAAAACAGATACGAGGGGAAACCAAATCTTAGATTCAATATTAGACTATAATTATATGATACTAGCTGACCCGCGCAACTTCGTCTGCGTCTCTCAATAGTAATAAATTTTCTCCGTTTTTGAAACATTCTTCATTGGTGCTCCGTTCCTATATGTCTTAGCGTGATGATATATAGCCTATAGCCTTCCTCGATAAATGGGCTATCTAACACTGAAAGAATTTTTCAAATCGGACCAGTAGTTCCTGAGATTAGCGCGTTCAAACAAACAAACAAACAAATAAACAAACAAACTCTTCAGCTTTATAATATTAGTATAGATTAAATGATGGTAGCCCTACACGTTTTCAACTTGTAAACAATGTATATAGAAAATCTTCTCCTGACTTATCTATAGCGTCCTCTGATATCTCTTTGGGTTTTGATTGGATGGTATCAAATGAAACGTTGGGAAGCGATCACATGATTATTAAAATATCTACTTCATTTTACTCAAATGAGCAGTATCAAAAAAGAAGAAATTTCAATAGGGCTAAATGGACAGTCTATGAGAGTTACCTCAGTGAAAAATTTAATACTTATGATACCTCCACTCTTAATAATCCTCAAGTAGCTTACAATTCGTTCTTAAATATTTTATACGATGCCGCCGAGAAGTGCATCCCTAATATAAAATTTAGTACTAACCCTACAAGTAATTTTCGGCCTAAACCATATTGGAACCCCGAATTATCCAAGTCAGTGGCAGAGAGGCGACTAGCACTAGCTAACTTTCGACGTAACCCCACCCCAGCAAATTTAATTGCACTAAAAAGGAAAATAAGTGTGTCACGGAGGATGCTTAGACAGACCCAAAGACAGTCTTGGCATCAATTTTGTAGTTCTATAGACGAAACAACCTCAGTGAGTGGACTATGGAATAAAATTAGGTGGATTAAAGGTTACCAAACACAAAAAAGACACATTGACCCAGATACAGCCAGCCTTCTTCTATATAGCCTAACCCCTGACGATGTACCCCGATGTAAACCTATATTCTCTTCTCAAAATTCGGCTCTAGATATTGAAATCACGTTGCAGGAATTAAATCAAAGTATTAAAACAAAAGACACTGCACCTGGGTTCGACAACATTTCTTACAGTATGATTAAAAATTTACCTGTAAACGCTAAATTAGTTCTAGTAAAACTGTATAACTCTTTTCTTTCGACGGGTTCAGTTCCTACTCAATGGCGAGATATTAGTATTATACCTATCCCTAAACCTGGGAGGGACACCCACTCCTCATCGGCACTGAGACCGATTTCGCTTATATCATGTTTGTGCAAAATTTTTCATGCAATTATACAGAAACGACTAGAGTGGTATTTAGAAAAAAATCGTATGTTTTCTAACGACACGTTAGGTTTTAGAAAGTGCAGGTCTTGTCTAGATAACTTAAGTCATTTAGTAACAAGAATTCAAACAGGTTTCTGTAAAAATTGTATAACAATCGGATGTTTCATTGATATAGATAACGCGTATAACAACGTAAATATCAATAATCTTTTATATAAATTAGATATGTTAGGGGTGGGACATAAAATATGTAGTTACCTTTTTGAATTTCTTCGGGAACGTTATCTTAAACTAGTAATAAATGGTATGTCGGTGACCCGCAGCACCGGCAGAGGATTGGCACAGGGTGACCCATTGTCACCCTTGCTGTTTAATGTGGCAACTATAGACAATTGCAAACAACATAACACCGATTCAGTACACATCTTACAATATGCAGATGATTTCGTTATTTATTGTACACATAAAAACATATTTAACGCCGCTCAACAGTTACAAACTTCGTTGGAGAATATCGTAGGCAGTTTATCTGAGCTTGGTCTAGAGATTTCGCCCTCTAAGAGTAAAATATGCGCCTTTAAAAAAGGTTGTAATAGACAAAATATTTCTATAAAATTGAATAATACAAGCATACAAGTAGTAGATAGTGTAAAATATTTAGGTTTGTGGCTAGATCGATCTCTTAGATGGGCTAAACACATAAGAGAAATTAATGAAAAAGTATCTAAATTTCTCAGCATCCTTAAGTTTGTGGCGGGGATAAGTTGGGGTATACACCCGAAACATTTAAGAAAAATGTATATTTCTCTCCTGAGGAGTCGTTTAGACTACGGTAGCTTTTTATACGGTGACAGTAGTGAAACACATTTATGCAAATTAGAAAAAACTCAAAATCAGGCTATGCGAATTATCGGCGGGTTTATCAAAACGACACCTATCCATGTAATGAGCAGTGAACTAGCGATACAGCCGTTACATATACGTAGATGCTACTTAGCCGGTAAATTTTTACTAAAATGCAAATCTTTATTAACGAAGAGTAAAATAATTAACTACTTAGAGGATTTAGCCAACTATCTAATCGCATGGCGTAGGAAAAATAAACCTGTTTTAATAATAATGTACGAACAATTGAGAGAAGTGCAAGTTCATTGTAGCCAAAATTTAGAGATGTTTGAGAGCCGGGTGTGGATGGGCTATATAGATATTTCCAAAAATTTAAAAGATAATATAGATTACATAAACAAACCTAAACAGCAATACAGGACATCCGTTTTGAGAGATTTGTGTTTTTATTATATGGATACTCGGTTTCCGAATTATTACCAGATATTTACCGATGGATCGAAAGAAAAAGGTGGTGCGGGGGCGGCCCTCTTCGATCCTCAGCAAAATACATTCGCTCGCTATGGAATTAGGGTAAAAATGTCGATCATGTGTATTGAACTAATAGCTATTAGTGAAGCGTTATCTTACATTCGTTCTATTGACCATGACAAGTTCGTTATTTTTACTGACGCTAAAAGTGCCCTCCTACATGTAGCTCGGTGTACCTCGACAATTCGAGGAACACCGATAGCATACACAATTATGAATCAAATTGTTGAGTTAGAACGGAGCGGTAAAACAGTACATCTTCAGTGGATTCCATCTCACATTGGTATAACTGGGAACGAAATGGTTGACACACTTGCAAAGCAGGCTTGTTCTGAAGGTATATATATTTCAATACTGCCTTACTATTCAGACTGCCTATATCTCGTAAAAGAATACTGTTTTAAATCCTGGAAAGAATATTTCGATAAAAGATCAACCGAAAAGGGTATCTGGTATAAAACTATACAACCTGAACCGCTGGCTATCCCTTGGATTGATAACTGTTTTTTGAGTAGACATAAATTGATAACGGCTATGAGGTTACGCTCTGGACACATCCCATCCAGAAAGTTCACCTTTTTAATAGGTTTATCATCTACGCCAAATTGTGAAATCTGTGGTGTGGTAGAGGACGTAGAACATGTTTTGATGGAATGTGTTCGGAACCAACCACTGAGAGAACGCCTGCTTAATGATAAGTTGATGGACATTGGAAGATGTAACAGCATCCTGTCCAGTCCTTTGACGGATACAGCTAATGATATTTATACCTTGTATTTTAAATATTTAAGTTAATTTTAAAACAAAAAATGGCTATGATGGAGCGACGTAGTCATCATTGTGGCTAAGCTCCGTAAATAAAGAGAAAAAAAAAAAAAAAAAAAAAAAAACTACACTATTCCAAAAAAAATTGTTATAATATGTTTATCAAAATATTTAATAGCTTGCCACCAACTATAAAGACGTTGCCCTTACTGAAATTGAAAATATGGCTTTTGGAAAAAATAATATATTCAATAACCGAATACCTAAACGAGCGATATTTACAAAAACACTTGATAATATTTTATTGTATGTCGTGTTCTATATTAGAAATAAATAATCGGATTGAAAAATTTGACATCGCAATTATATATTTGACATTATGTAAATTGTTTATCGACATGAGCTTAGTAGTTTGTTATTAAATCAATCTGTTGTTGTAATATGCATTACGTTTAAAAAATTTTCATGTCGGAACAGACTGACGAAATATGTGATTCTCTTCTAATAACTATAAATGTGTGGTGACGGATTAAGAATACAAATTGTCACCACCCCAATTCATCCCGTGGGTGTCGTAAGAGCCGACTAAGGGAGCAAACTAAGCAGGACAACAGCACTGCAAAGAGAAGAAAAACTTGAAACAAACCTTATACCAACCCGTCTGGCCAGCGTGGTATAGTAGGCCGAAACCTCCTTTCTAAGGAGAGGCCTATGTCCAGCAGTGGACTAGTATAGGCTGTTGATGATGATGATGATGAACTATAAACAGCCCACGTACCATATTTCTGCAATTAAAGTATGATTTGTTTGCAGGTCCGCCGGCGCAGTCCCTGGGCGTGGAGCCGGTGGACCACTCGGTGCTGCGGCGGCGGCCGCGCGACACCACGCGCCGCATCATCTCGCGCGCGCTGCTGCTCAACGTGCTGCTCTCCGCCGCCATCATCATCGCCGGCACGCTCTGGGTCTTCAACCGGGAGGTCGGTGTAGCTTTTACATCCTTGTTCTGGGTTCAAATCTTGATTGACGACAGATACCAACACCACACACCGACAGCCTATAACAGTCCACTGCTGGACATAGGCCTCTCCTTAGAAAGAAGGTTTTGGTTTTGTTTTTGACAGATACCCATAACTTATAAATAGTACTTACTCGAACGACATTCAAACATTTCATCCGATCACTTTTCTGGCTCATTTATTTTGACACGAGCATCCACATATAAAGACAGCACTGCAAAGAGAAGGAAAACTTGGCACGATACCGACCCGCAGTTCTCAGTCTTCTCACATGCACCAGTAGAATGACCATAACGCAGTAGATCCTCAAACACTTAAACTTACACTCAAACGTAACGGAACTTGAAAGCAATATAATTATACAGTATGTGCCGTGACGTTTGACGGGCCTGTTGGTCTAGTGGTTAGTGACCCTGACTGCTAAGCCAGAGGTCGTGAGTTCGATTCCCACCCAGGACAAATATTTGTGTGATGAGCACGATCATTTGTTCTGTATCTGGGTGTAATTTATCTATAATATGTATGTATTTAGAAATATATAAGTATGTTTATCAGCAGTCTGGTTACCATACTACAGGCTCTGCCTATTTCGGGATCAGACAGCCGTGTGTGAGATGTGTGAGGTTATTATTATTTATTTTATTTATTTATATTAATATTAGTTGCAACGATTGACCCAACTCACTACTGCTTATCAAATAGCTCATTACAAGATCCACAATAACTCTCCAATAAAGTTGTTGGTGGCCTTTGGTAAGGGAGAATCAAGGTAGATCAGATAAATTCGATAAGGATTTTATAAAGTATTACGTAGATAGTAAAGTATTACTAAGACTAGCAGAATACCGATTCAACTTAATAAGATATAATCACATTACAGTCAACGTTGGATTTTTAATAATTTACTACGAGAATATCTTTTCTGATATTTGTGAGATGGGTTTATAGCAGAACCTTTATAGCAGAACTTCGCAGATCAATTCAACGCCTGCCACCGCAGCTTTGGTCAGCCTTAGCCGCGGTGGCGGGCGTTGAAACCACCTCCTCCTCAGCTCGCGGGCCATCTCGCCCCTCCGCGCCTACGCCAGCTTAAATTACACTCTAGGAGTAGGTCAAAGAAGTCGGAGTCGGTTTTGCAGCGATTCGTTTCTGTCACAAACTTTTCATCATGTGACTTTTTAAGATAATCGTCATCAACAGCCTTTAATAGTCCATTGCTGGACATAGGCCTCTCCTCAGAAAGGAGGAGAGGCCTATGTCCAGATAATATTTAAGATAGTATTTTAATTTAATTGCTATTTCATGCCACTATGCCTATTAAAATTATTTCAAATGAAATTGTACCAAATAATCTACGCTCTAAATAAACGTTATGCCAAACGAAATTATGCGAAATTTTAACTGCCAAAGTTAATTATGCTAAATAAAATTATGCCATCTTAAAAGTATGACATTCTAAATTCGGACATATAAACATTCACTCATAACTTGTATACCATATAAAAATATTCGTTTGAAGAAGATTCTACCAAGTGTGTTATGCGAAATAAATTTCGGAGCATCAAGATTCTGCCAGATAGAGGGAACCCTTGTGAGATCGAGTGTAGATCGGAACTGAAATTTGAACGAATTTTTATTACGAGAATTGACCTGTTAATTTGCTCCCAACTAATGAGTAGGCCATAAGATTATATAGAAGACAGTTGGCACTGGTAAGCATTAAATAATAACTGGTCAATGGAGGCACGAAATAGTTATTATTATTATTATTATACATACTTTCCATTTAGTTACAGTATGACGTCATTTCGTTGTTATACCTTCCTGTGAGGATAATACACAAATAAAAGCAATGAGTTTATCTAAACATAACCAAAATCGTCACTGAATGTGTTGCGCAATTCTGTCAAACTTCACTCAGCGTTGAATTACGATCCTGTGACTACATTCATTACGGAAAAAAGTGAATTTATCTTTTAAATAAATACTAAAACTGTATAACTATACAAAATGAGCTCAGTTTAGTCGAGCTTATCTCCAAAACTGCTAATCGGATTTGATAAAACATTTTACATTCAATAGCACAATTGTAGTCGAAAGTTCTACACTTGATAGTATCAAATTACGACTGTTATTACTTGAGAAGTGTTCGCTTGAAACGACTACTTCAAAATAAAGTTTCGAGAATCAAAATGGAAGACCCCACCCAGAATGTGAGCTACAATCGTCTTGCGTTGGCCAAAGCTCAAGTCGAGGAAGTAGTGGACATTATGGCCGCCAACGTTGAAAAGGTCTTAGAAAGAGAAGAGAAGTTGTCAGAGTTGGAAGATCGCTCGAATACGTTGCAGAATTCAACCTATGCATTTACGAACAACGCGTCGAGACTCAAGCGAAGGTTTTGGTGGCAAAATCTTAAAATGACTAATACTTGTCGGTGTTATTGTAGTGTTGTTTATTATACTAATTTTGTGGGCGTTAAACCTCCTTGCTAAGTAGAAGCCTATGTCCAGCAGTGGACTATTATAGGCTGTTGATGATGATGATGATGTGGGCTCGAGTGCACTTCTGGTCCCTGAGGTCACTAAAGCGCCTGAAACTAAAAACTCTCGATAGTAATTTATCTTAAAAAGCCATTTTTTTTTTTGCATTTTCTATGTATGTTTACAATATAAACAAGATATTAAAGACTTCATCTTATATTTTTTTAAATTTGTTTTACTTCTCACAGCACTATCGTTACAGGCCAACCCTAATGAGACAGCGTGATCCTTAATTACCATAACATATTCATTCAGAGAACAAGAAAAATGACAATATTTTGTGCCAGATGTATATAGTTTTATTCTGTTAGAACTCTCATTGTACTCGTAAAAAGCCGTAGAAACAGTTTTAAACAGTAGACCACGTTTATTTCATGTGCTTTGAACTGTAAACTTATCTGTTTCAATAACAATATTCTATTTTCCTCTTATCCCAAATAATTTGAACTCTGTACACTGTCTTTCCTTCTTTCATTTTCCTCTTATCATTTGTTAATTCATGGTTTCTTTTCATTTCCTCCCTTTCTAGACACATGCCCTCTTATACAGTCTATCCAATATTTCTTTGTTCCTCTTTTACTGAATCCATCAACTTCTGTAAATTAAACGTTTTACCACATTTTTCTCACCCACCTGCATCACATGACTAAAAATTAAGTAAAACCTAACTTTTGAAAACAATAAGAAAAAGTTTTTATAAATTTAGTCGTAAGCCGATGTATTAAAGAATTGGTATGTTTAACTGGTTTTTTGGTCAAGTGGATAGTGATACGGACTGATGAGCCAGTCAGGTATGGTCATCACTAGTCTAGTTACCATAGTACTGGCTCCGAGAGTTCTGGCGGTCATGTGTAAAGTGCATCAAGTTATTACTTATGTCGTTAAGTTATGTCGGTTATCGCGGTAAAAAGTAGCCTATGTTACTCACTGATATGTAGCTATCCATTGGTGAAAGAATTTTCAAATTCAGTTTAGTGGTTTAGGCGTAAAAGCGTACCAAACAAATTCACTTTCAAATTTATAACATAAGTATGGATTATTATAAGATATTAGTGCTAGCCAATATACAACAAATTAGTAAATACAAATTTCTCACAGTTGTGTTGTTTTATTATCAGCTCCTTTATATAACCTGGGAAGGTTCAAACTTATATTTAAATATATTGGTGCTTATTTAAATACTGTATGCCACTACAGGGAAAAAATAAAATAAAACTGTTCAACCCGAGGCCCGAATTCATTATCTCACAATTCGTTGCTTATAATACGGAAAATTCACGTCTCAGAAACTGCTGGTTCAAATTGAAAAACTCTATTAGTGTTGCATAGTATGTTTATTGAGGAAGGATATAGGCTGTATAACATTATGCTACGACCAATAGGATCTGAGTATCAATGAAAACTGTTGTTAAAATAAAAAAAAGAAATATCTTTTGCGAACAATAAGAAAGGCCTTAGTTCAAGGATTTTGATGTATGAATGATGTATACTGAACGCAACCGTAACTTTTAATTTCAGTTCTAGTTAAATACATGTACGCATTTACTGGTACTCCATGTTACTGTTGATAAGCTGATAAGTATTAATTATTACAAAGCTAATTAAGAATTAAGCTAATTAAGGACTTTGCGCCTATATAAAATGTTGTATATTATCATTACGACGCTCATTATTTCATTTATTTTAATCAAAAACTACAAATAATATATGTTTAAGTTCAGATTAGGCAGGAAATGTTTTGTACTCAATAAACTCATTTGGTACGACAACTTTATTATCTTATCTACAAAAGTGGCTTGTTTAAAGTTAATGGATTTCGTGTTTCTTAGAAACGGCTCGTGAGAATATGTAGTAAATTCCTTAAAATAGGTTATTTAAGTGATAACTTCTTATGGGAGGGTAAACCGCTTCGTTACGTAACGCGTTACGGCGCCAGTCTGTCTGGCTTCCCTTTCTCTTACGCATACGGCAGCGGTAGGCAGGCTCCTCCTCTCTCACTCTAACCAACAGCGCTAGCCGTATTACGGACAGAGGCTTTACATAAAATTTAAGTAATAACCTGAGCTTTTCTCAACAATTTCAATATTAAATAGTTCAACTTAGATTAGTTTAAGTTATCACTTATGTCGTTTACACACACGTCACACGTTTTTAATTCTTTTTTTTTCACATTTATAGCAAAGGTAAATCAGGTTCCGAAAAATAATTTCAAATTACAATCTGTAAAATGTAAATTCAATAAAGTCGAAGTCGAACGCTATAAAGGTTGTATTTTATTTATGTTTATATTTTGTGTAATTACGAGTAGTGTTGTATATTATTCTTTAAAAGGTGCTTTATTCCTGAAAATATTCGTAAGTGAAAGCTGACGTGTATTTTAGGAATTCACATATGTTTTCTTTCTTTCAAAAAAAAAGAACACGTCATTTACTACAACACCGCAAAAACTATCTAAGCTTACTGAAATTTGCCCTAAACCTATCCAATTTAATTCCAGATGTCAGACAACAGAATCACTCCTCGAGATACCACGATGACCTTCACGTGCTTCGTACTCTTTGATATGTTTAACGCGTTGAGCTGCCGATCTCAGACCAAGTCCCTGTTCCAAGTAGGACTGTTCTCCAACAAGATGTTCCTCATCGCCGTTACCTTGAGCCTGGTGGGACAGATGTTGGTTATATACTTTCCACCGCTGCAGAAGGTGTTTCAGACCGAGGCACTCACTGGTCATGGTAAGAAGCTAAAGATTTTTGTTGTATTTTATTTAAACACACGCACACACATAGCCCCCACCCCACACACACACACACACACACACACACACACACACACACACACACACACACACACACATACATACACACACACACACACACACACACACACACATACACACACACACAATATGCCACATAGGCCTATACAATATTAAAAGATTACTTATTTGAGTGTATTATTCTTTTATTTATATTAACAGTTAAATTTGTTATATTCAGCTAAATATTCATTATTATTAATTGAATAAAAACCCTGTGACCTGGAACCTGATGTCATCTCCTTATTGGAGTTAGTCGTTGATAGCCACGACACAATTCTTATCTATTGATATACTATCTATTATAAAATATTAATATTTTTACCATAAACAAATTATTCTTATTATTTTCAGACATAATATTCCTGGTATGCCTGACTTCGAGCGTGTTCATCGTCAGCGAAGTGAAGAAGCTTATCGAGCGCACCCTCAAGAAGCGCGCCCTGGGCAAGTTCTCGGGCAAGTCCCGGGACGCGATGGAGTTCGTATGACACAAGCCGGAGGGGAAGGTGCAGTAAGCGCCAACACCCGGAAGGCTCGCCGACAAGCCCCAAGTTCGTATCGTGTTCGTTTAAACGGGCCTGTCGGTTATGTAGAGCGGGGGAGTCCCCTTTTTACGATTTATGACGCCAAACTCGACGAGAGTTTAAGCTAAACAGTATTTACGTGTGTGTCCTGTCCTATGTCTATTTATTACAAATTTATTTTAAGTAAGCGGAATTAGTGAATTTATATTATTTTTTTAATTTTTACCAGAGCGCGCTAGGATTTCGCGGTTTATGTTTTTACGTTCCTTTTTTAATATTTTTTTTAGAAAATGAATTGTGAAAGTAAATGTTTGTAGTTTATGGTAGAATTAGTTTAATTGGTATTTCTAAGATTGCATAGTTTTGTTTTTATAGATCGAACGTTGTTTTAATGGTATCAAATCTCACTGAATATAATTATTTTTTAATTTGTTGAACTCTGCAATCTTAGAATAGAATGGGGGTATATAGTTTAATATACCTCAGACGCATTTATAAAATTACTTTTATTAATGATGATATATAGAATTTAAAGGGTAATTAATTATTGTCAGTGACATTATTTTTATATTTTTTTTTACTATCCCAGGAGTTTACCCGTAAAGTTGCAATAACTAATATATTTATTTTCAGAAGAAAATGACTAAATTTTTAATTTGAGTGATTGTGGTGACGTTTGTGTCATTTTTGACATAAATACCAGTAATGATATATATTTATTGGTTTAATTATTGATCCAAAATTGTTTAATTTATTAATTTTGCCATAGTTTCATTTATTTTACCTTTTATTAGTCCAATATTCCAACTTAATTGTACGACATAAGTCCCAACGTAGCTTTAACTACGTTGACTTCACGGCATTTTTTATTTCAGTAACAATCAAATATGATGTACAACTTCTGAATTGTACATTATCGTATTAAAAAACAGGTCCTTGGCCAGTTTTAGAACAGAGAAAGTTTTTAAAACGTAAAAAACACATCAGTGAAAATATATAATAAATTAATTTGATAAACATTGGACGTGGACGAGATATTCTTTCTAAACACCGCCGTGACGTATTAAAACAATTTTGTTATTTTTTAAATTTAAATTACAGCCCCATTCTGTATATCTATCATTGACAATGTCTATACTGTAATGTCATAAGTAGTATGAAGTATATATGTTTACTTTGCTATGTAAATAGCCTATTAAATAACATAGCACATTATTATTAAAAATTTTCATGTATTCGAAATATTATGTCTGTAACACAGTTACTAACAAGTTGTACTAATTGTTGTCTTTGTGAATAAAGCAGTGTGTTACAGAAAGGCGTGGTCGTATTTTAGCGTAAGGGTCAGACCCGTAGTGTCGAATAGTAGATTATACCCCAGTAGGGTAAACTTTTCGACCTCACTGAGTCTACTCCAGAAGTAACATTACAGTTGGAAAGATTGTGATTTTTTTTTGAAGGTGACAAATTGAATTTGAAAGTTGATTGATGAACCTAATATTTTGTATAAGAGATGGATGTCATGAACGAAATTGTGAGCGTTTAGTAAGTAGCAAGGATGTTGAAGTATTGAGATTTAAAAAAAAACATTAAAACTCTCGTGAACATTCGTAATATGTTGATTAAATATATTATGAATAAAAACATGTAAAATAAATGTACATGTACAAGAAAAATACATGTTTCAAAATATATATATTATTTTCAAAATCTTTTTTTTTTCTAACTAAATCAACAATTTGTCGGCTGCGCATAACACTTCTGAAATGTGACCACTCTTATGTAACATCAAGCTGGAACATTTAACAGCAAAGTCAGGGATCTTGCCTTACTGGTTAAATATAGATCGCCGTCTTTGACTCCAGATGTTTAATCATTGACATAGAGATGTCATATTAATGATTAATCGAATTTTCCGCCAACTGACATGCATTTAAATGAAATAAGAGAAGTGGGAGAAAGAAAACAAATAAGATTGGTTGTATTAATAATGTGGGGCCGTTGTAACACTTAAACTTTTAAACGGGTTAGTCTTATCCAAGCCACAAAGTCAGTTCAGTAAGTTCATGTTCAGTCATTGTTGCAGGTACCAGTATAATTAGATCTGTGTCTGAGCTGAGAGTAAAAGTCACCAAGAAATTGGTATTCACATTTATATAAGATATGTGGTTTTACTATTTCGGGTATGCCTGAATGGTTCTAGGCCTAATGGTAGCCCTATTTAAGGAGTTAAGCGACCTGCTGCAACTGTGGCAGTACAGTTAATAATCTTATAACGCTTGATCTATTCAAATAGTAGAGAATTTAATTCAAAGCTTTGCCAGGTGGGATTCGGTTGTATTTGAAACGGACCATATTAAAATTATCTTTTAATAGGTAGTAATATTAGGTAATGAATATTACCATGTCATAATGCGTACGACGTAATACTTATCTAACTAGCACACAATAATCCTTATAAAATATTTAACAACTATTTGCTTAGAAAAATATTGTAACTTTTGTTTTCATGTGATTTCAATTTTCAGAAAATACAATTTCGAAATATGAGTTACAATGTTTTTCTATGCAATTATGTTTATTATACGTCTATTATCTAGAAAAAAAAACATAGTTTGTGTAGTTTATCTCTTTTGATATTAATGCGTGCATAAATGATTAGTAAACGTATCAAAATATCACTTCTTGTATTAAAATTTTAATTCATTGTATTAAACACACATCTTTAGCTAAAAAAATGCTTATTTCACTAAATTAACTGCATTAATTTGGGATCGTAGAATAAGGTATACTCAGTCATATCTTAAAACTGATATAAATATCAATGTTTAAATTTTAATATCCGACATGTTTTGAGAAGGACTGTTGGCTGTGAAGAATTATGATAGCCCCAAAGGATCGTACAAGGTCTTGAATGTATTGTTGTAGCCGCTTTGATATATTTAGTTATTAAGGATCAGTTTACTCATATATATATTTATTTAAAATATATTTATATATCATCATCATCTGCCTACCCTTTTCCCAATTTTATTTGGGGACGGCGCAGTATGTAAGATTTTTCCATTCAACTCTGTCATGCGTCATCTAACTGTTTACTCCCTTAATAGCCATATCCTCCCTGACGCAGTCCATCCACCTCTTCTTCTTCGGTCTGCCTCTTCTCTTGTACCCTTCAACTCCCATAACTAAAACTTTCTTCGCCACATTTTCCTCATCCCTCCGCATGACATGTCCATACCAAGATAACCTATTACTTCTTAACTTTTACTCCAGTGGCGCTACTTTCAGACTCCCTGGTATATACTCATTCCTAACCTTGTCCATCTGAGTCACAATATATATATATGACAAATGAGTTGTAAACTCGAAAAAAAAATAAGTTTAGACACTCATTTACGTAGGGGGGCGACATAATATATGACATGTATGACACATATAGAACATATATAATAAAATGTATGACAGTCGACGATCCCGGTTTTGGGCGGTCCGCATCCATCCACTTTCTTCGAATCGTCGGTCCATCGTGCGTCCATCATCCTACGTTTGCCTAATCGCTGCCTTCACTTACATGTCAGCTCCAGCTACTATCAGTTTACTCGGATACCACCTATCACGGTGGCATGTCGGACTCGAACCGACTAAAACCGTACGCCGTCTCGGGTACTAATAGCCGGGGAACCAGGTATACCCTAGAAAGGAAGTCCCTGGTGCCCCGACATACCTTGGGCCATCTACAGACGAGTAGACGACCCCCCCCCCCCCGTGTTAGCCATCAGTCCGCCTGGAGACATGACACTTCCACTTCAGTGTACTGATTCTCCGTGCGCTGTCGGGTACTCAGTATTTCAAGACCGGTATAGTTAGGGGAGGCCTTTGTTCAGCAGTGGACGGCGATACGTTTATGAGAGTGACAGTCCATATTATGTCCTATTTTTCTTTGCTATACTTGGGTTTTAATGTAACAAGAACGATTACTGTAATGTTTTTAAAAGCAGCAACTAACACTGGTATACTTAAGGTCGTAATTCGCTTATACGGACAGCAAACGGTCAATGCTATTTGCAAAACGCGCCGTCCGCTAAAGCTAGCAGTAAGCTTCTAATACTGTGATCATAGATCAGACAATGATAAGTGCATTTTTGCTCAATACGACTTATTAATAAAGGTATAATCGCCAAAAAATGCTCTTTCATTTGGTCACATCAGGATAACTACATGCAAAATATTACTGTTGTATTGAATACTAATCAGATTATGATAACTTTCATATTTCAACTTTTGTTTTGGTCATATTGCGTTAAGTGATTTTATTTAGATCTGACCGAAAGGACAATGCGCTTTTTATTGATCAGAATATGACAAAAGCACACTTATCAACTTATGATCAAAAATTACTTGGTTAGCGGGAAACATGTCATAACGTGTCGTGTCACTATTGTTTCGCGTACCGCACATTTCATAGTTTATTGTTAGTTTTCGTTATTACGCCGGTAAAAGAACATTAAGATAGGTTATAATTACTGTTAAAATGATGAGTGCTCGCTGTAAGACGTTGTTGGAGTTAGCTATGAGACAAGAAGATCCAGAGGTATGTTTATCATTATTTTGATTGTTATTTTATTCAAATCGCGTCAGTGTGCATTGCGAGAGTAAGTAGGCATTTTAGTGAGCAATATTGTAATAGTTGATATGACTGTTTGTGCCTAGTATATTATATAAAATACTGGCACCCGGGCCTAACGTTGTTTTTTTTTTTCATTTTAGGATTTAGCTGTGAAACAATGTATGAGAGAACGTACTCCATTAGCTCAGAAGGATATCTTGCAATCTTTGCCCGGCCCGTCGGGTAGTCAAGTAGCTCAGCAGGATATTTTGTCATCTCTGCCCGGTCCGTCAGGTACTGCCATAGCTCAGCAAGATGTTTTGCAATCTCTACCCGGCCCATCAGGTAATCGAGC